ATCTGTACATCAGTTAACAGCAAGAAAAATCAGGTTGCCTTGCAAGGGATGGTAGAAATCACTGCATTAAAAAAAATCCTACTTGTTCATATTTTAGCCAAGAGTTAATATAAAAAATGTGTGGCCAATGTGAGAGGAATCTGGTACTGTCAGAGACTCGACAAATTGGATTCTTTGTAAATGATGCACCATTCAGTTCAATTCCTGATATCAACTGTCTTCCAAATCATCACTGCATGAAACATCTGTTTTCTGCGAGATTAGCACAACTCAACGGAAACGTGCCTAGCCTGAAGGAAATGAAAAGATGGTAAAAATCGATTCTAATACTATTTATGGGAAGGAATTCAGATAAAACCTAGCCTGATCCATGAAAAATGTTTCCAAACTCCCTTAAATTGGTTTCTCTTGGACACAGGCATTTTCTTGGTATCAGGGATAGGAAGGTAGCAGTATATGCTTTTCTTTCTATCCAATTAGTCTAGTAATGATACAACTAAGTCTACATTAAATTACACTGCAAAGCTCATGCCAAAAGCCAAACATAAACCAGACATCCCTGTCAAATCCCTTTACCATGAGTAACAAAATCATCAAAATATTGTGAACAAAACATATCCAGGATCCAGCCAATGGCTCACACATTTCAAGGAATATTTGATGCAGTAAAGCATCCAAATAAAATGAGTTTAGACAGCCCTTTGGAGTTCATGATATAATTTGATGTGGTAATGTGTTTTTTTAAAAAAGGACAAATGATGACCTTGATTTAAATGACTTCATAATAAAATTTAGACAGTCTAAGTTTACATCCAGTATGTCTGATTACAGGCAGCCAGGACTGTTAAATATGCAAGCAGTAAGTGTTTTATAATGTTTAATACTTAAGTTAATTGTCTGTCTGGCAATGGACAGGGAGGTCTCAAACTTTGAATTTGTCACTTAATTCAGTAGAAATGTGTGTGTGTGTGTGTGTGTGTGTGTGTGTGTGTGTGTAAGGTAGAGTAGGAGAAAGGAAGAAAGAGGTGGAGAAAAAGAAATTTCATTATAACTGGAGGTGATCTTTTAGAAAAGACAGGCTTCTACTTCACAGATTGGTTTATAACAAACTTGGTTCGAGTGAGTTTACAGAGACTCAACACTAACATGCATTTCTAAGGTGCTTCTTTTGTGTCCCTCTAAAAATGGTTTTGAAAACAAATCTCAGGTTTAAAATTCATTATGACAAAAATAAAACACAAGGACAGATTTCTGAATGACACCTACCCATTCTCTCATGAGACAACATAGGGTGATGGCTGAATGGAGGCCATAAATCATAAATAAGATAAACCATAGTCTTCCTTCTGGTGGGGTCACAAGAAACCTATTTTCATTCATTGCCTTTGCAAATATGACTGCCTCTTCAGATTACCACCTACCAATGTCTTTTAAAATTAAACATGCATATACTTGGTGACCATCCCGGGAAGTCTGTCCTATCAAAACAAATCTTCACACAGAAAGACAGATGGACAAAAGCCTTCCCTGCAGAACAGTTTGCAGTAGCAGAGCACTAGGAAAACAGTGAACAATCATTGTTAGGAAATAGCTAAATCTATTGCAGGGAATCCATGATGTAGAAGATCACTGTGAAAAGAAGACATATATAGATTGCAAAGGATTTCCATGGGGTTTTGTTCAGCCAACAAAAAAATAATCAGATGCACTAGAATGGATGAAAAGGGAAAGGAGAGTAGGAAAATGCAAGTCAGTTATACAATTAGTGTCTCTTAATTCATTAAAAAGGAAGATTTGTGCTACTATCAATTGCTGAAATGTTCATGCCAATGTCTTGTACGTTGAGCAATTACTTTAAAGATAACAACTTTTAATGTATTAACTATTGTTACTCACCTATGACTTTGTTAAAAGTTTTTGTCTTACCTTTTTCCATAAAGTAAAAAACAAGATGTAGAAAAGTATTTAATACTATTCACTTTCAGTAAAACAATGACAAAATAATCCTGTATGTGTATATCTGGACTGTATACTAGATGGAGGATATATAAAGAGGGGTGCCGCTAGAGGATGAGGGAAGAATAGGCATTGGTGAGAATCAAACATCCAAAGTACAAATTGTCTTCTAACAAAGAAAATTTCAGGACTAGGTAGATACACCACTGAATTTTAAAAAGGCCCTAAAGAAGAACTAGCACATGGACCTGTTCCATGAAATTCAAGGGGAGGAATACTTCTGAATTCATTCTATGAAGCTAGGATTATCCCAATACCCAAAACAGTTAAAATCAAAACAGGAAAACTATAATCAATACTGCTGGTGAACACAGATGCAACAGTACTCATTAAAGTACTCTGAAATTGAATTCAACCGCACATTAAAAATATAGAAGACAATGATCACTTTAGTTTCTTTCTAGAGATTCAAGGATGGTTCAACATACACATGTGACTTTTTCATTTGTTATTTTTTATTTTTAAATAATTTTATTGAGAAACAAATAGCAATGAGACAGTTTCAATAATTAATATGTCGCATATTGTTGTCTTCTTAGTGGTTATTTATAGTACAAGATGTAGACATAATGTCTGTCCACAAACACTATTAGAACAAATCTTTCTTCCCATTTAATTAAGAGAAAGTAGCTGTATATCTATCCTATTTTGAATATACAGATACAAAATGGTCCTTCATTTGTATCCCCATTTTATGTTTAATTTTGTCAGAGATGGGTATTCCATTGTCATTTAAATATTGTAGGTGTATGAATTCAGCAAAATATTGCAATATAGTCCAGTAGTCCATAATAGTAATGGGTTGTTGTTGACTTGAGCCTTTTATAGCTCAGCATATTCATATGGCTTTACTTTTTATACTTCGTTTTTATACTTTTCTGCTGGATGGTTAAGACCAAGATAAAGAAAGACCTATATGTTAATTAACAGAATGCTCTGCATAAAGAAAATCTAGGACAAAGCTCACACGATTATCTCAACAGATATAGGAAGAGCCTTTGACAAAATTAAACAGCCCCTCATCATAAACACCCTGAAGAAACTAGGTATAGAAAAATCTTACCTCAACATAATAAAGGTTATATACAAGAAACCTATACCAATATCATCCTGAAAGTGGAAAACCTGAAGGCATTTCCTCTAAATTCAAGACCCTGGAAAAGACATACATTCTCAACTCTCCTGTTTAACAGCACTTGAAATTTTAGCTGGGGAAATCATGTAAGAGGAAGAAATTTAAAAGAGATATAAATGCAAAAAAGAGGAAATGAACTTATCATTGTTTGCAGATGACATGATTCTATGCCTACAAGATACTAAAGACTCCATCAAAATATTCTGACTACAGTGAAATTCTATCTTACCCCAGTCAGAGTGACTATTCATCATTAATACAAAAAACAAGAAATACTGGCAACGATACAGGGCATGGGAGGAAGTCATACAGTGAGTGGGAATGTAAATTACTGCAGCCTATGCATGCAGGCTCCTCAAAAATCTAAAAATAGAATTACCATATTATTTAGCTATGCTACTCAGCATTTGCACATAAGAATGTAACTTGGCACATTACAAAGATACCTGCATCTCCATGCTCAAACCAACACAATTCACAATCACCAAGTTGTGGTATGTCTGGGTGCCCATCAATGAATGAATGGACAATGAAAATGTACATACACACAATAGTGTGTCATTCAGCCATAAAGAAAACTGAAACCATGTTGTACGGGAAAATGGGTGGAACTAGAGATCATCATGTCAAGTGAAGAAAGGCAGACTTGGACAAAGGTCTCATGTTTTCCCTAATATGTGAAATTTAGAAAAGAGAAAGATGACATGAAGGTAGAAGGGATATTATTATACTACAATAAAATAATCAAGAGGAGAGAGAACAGGGCCAGTGAGATAGCTCTGCAGACTAAGCACCTGCTTAGGCAAGCACAGGGACGGGGGTTTGATCCCTGACACCACATGCTGTGCTGGCCCCGCCCCAGAGCCTGCTGAACCAGTGACCGAGTCCGGGCATGGTGGTGGATGCCTGTAATTCCTCCTTGGGAGATGGAAAACAGGAGGATCAATACAAGTCCAAGCTGCGTAGTGAGACCCTGTACCAAATACATAAAATGAAAAAAAAAAAAAAAAAAAGGAGATGGCCAAGTGGGATCAATGGGGGGATGTGTATTATCAAATTAGGTTATATCCATGGATGAAAATGCCACAGTGAAACCCACCATTCTGTACAATTTATATGCACTAATATAACATACATGTGAAAAATATAAGCAAAAAGCACTTCATAAAACAGAGCAAATGCATCGTCATGCAAATCACACATAAAAACCAAGAAAAGATTATTGGGTCCACCTTTTCTTTGATGTGCTAAGGATGGAACTTAGGGCTTTGCACATACTAACCAGATGCTTGACCACAGAGCTTCACCCTCAGCCTTAAACATTTAAAAAAAAAAAAAAAAACATTGCCCCTAAATATTTGGGAGTGTTCTAATTAGTCCTAACATTCAAATGTTAAATTAAAGGTAACGTTCCAGAAGCAGATCCATATCAACCAAAACTTACATCTCAATCAAGTAGGCATTTGTTCTTGAATAACACAGGTCTGAACTTGCAGGAACACTGTGATTTAACAGCAGCCAGAAGGTCAGAAGACAGGGTGTTTTATTTGCTTTTCCTTATCCATTAAGTCTTGATGTGGCCTTGAGCAAGTAACTAATCTGTTGTCCTTCGTTTTCACCTCTACAAACTGAGAGTGTGGGCCAGATATTTAAGGCTTTAGTAGTCTGTGAGTTTATCTTGATTTTTTTCTTACTTGAAAAGACCCAGAATACTTGCCAATTTAAACATAAATGAACATAAGTAAAGTTTACAGAACTTTGTGCTGAGCTTTGGACATAAGCACATTGCTGAGAAAGGTTTATTGGTAATTTCCCTGGCATGATTAGTGAACCCCAGAAACCACCATACCTTTAGGAATAGGCTGGGAATGCTTTGCTCCTTGGTCCAATTTGAAGTCCAAATATAATGTGGGAGTGCGAGTATAAACCTTGGACTGAAAAGGAAAAGGAAAAGGATCAGCATTTTTCTAAGAACAAGGTTCTTCAGCTGCACCCTGCTGTAAATAAAACTAGATCCATTATATTTATGGTTCATCTTAAGGAAGTACTGCTAAAGCCATGTGGGCAGCTAATTCAGCCCCTCTTATGGCTCTTGGTCTAGAAATTAGCCTTCATAGGTCAACACCATGGTTGACAGTTAATTTCAGGATAACAGTTTGGTTTTTTGCAAGACTCAATAATGCCATTTCCATTTTGAAATGTAAGAATCTAACATAAGTAGAGAAAAGTTTAGATACTTTTTTCTCATTTGGCCTTCTTGAAAAAAAAATGGTCTGCACTAAATGCATGAAAAAAAAATCCCTAAGTCTAAATGTGGGAAAGCAAACTTTTTCAGGGTTTTCTACTGTAAACAGTAGCTTTGTTTTTTTTTTTTTTCAAATCAAATCGAAAGTACATTTTCAACAAATAATACACTGCTATATTCTTCTTAGTGGTTAATTGCTGTACAAGATGCAGACTTGTGATTCTACTTACAAACACCATTAGAAAAAATCATTCTATTCATTAAGAGAATGCAACTATATATCTATCCCAACCACTTTGAATACACAGATACAAAATGGACATTCATAGTTATATCCCATTTTTTAAAATTCCGTTATTGAATATTATAGGTGTGTAAACTCAGCAAAATATTCTAAAAGAGTACAGAAGCCCATAATAGCATTGGGTCTTCTGTTTAATTGGCAATGTCAGAAATTATTGACGTGAGTCCCCCACAGCTCAACATAACAACATGGCTTTACTTCCTATATTTCATCTTCATACTTTTCTACTGGATGGTTAAGACCAAGGTAAAGCAGAACCTATGCAACAAGAGTTGTAGCTTTTTGGTTTGAGAAGGTCAGTGAAATGCCCTCAGGATTTATCCTGAGATCCTGTACCTCAGACTGTAGAACCTTTGTCAGTGCAGCCATGTGGATGAGTCACCGCCATTGCTTGGGTAAACAGTAGCTTTGATTCCATCAACAGTTAAGCAGTTTGTAATTGAATACAATGTCATCATGAATCACTGGTTTAAACCAAATCCAAGAGATTGGCACTATTTCTATAAATTGCAGGATGTCTCATTGTTAATCATACAGCCCCAGTGGCTCTATTCTTATTTTTAAATTTAAAAGTGCATGCTAAAATGAAAAGGCCTGTAATGCATTTATATAGTTGAATGCTCTACACTAGAATGAATAAACCCATCGACATGTAACAAATTAGAGGAATCTCAAAAGCATGATATTGATCAAGTGAAGACAGATGTCTGATTTCATCTCTAAAAAGTTCAGAATGAGGTTGTGATAATTAATCTTGATTGTTAACCTAACTGAATTAAGAGTTGCCTAGGGAATCAGTAAAGCACACTTCCAGGTAAGTCTGTGAGGGGCATTTCCAGAGATGACTGGCATATAGGGCAAAAAATTGAGGGATGAAGACCTCTCTGATTGTGAGTGGCATCATCTTTTGCTGCTTCCACCATCTGTGGACATCAAACTTTGGTTTCTTCAAGCTTTCTACATGGATTCATACCAGTGACTCGCTAGGGAGCTTCCAGGCCTTGGGCCTGGAATGACACTGAATTTTTTATCCCTCCTGTTGCGTGGCTTCCACTGAGCAGCCTCCTCTGGTTCTCCAACATGCCCAAAGCCCTTGTGGACCACCTGGCCTCTGGTTCTATAACCATATTTATTAAACTCCCTTTCAAAATCATATATTCTAGGGGTTCTGTTCCTATACTGAATCCTAACCAATCCAAAGGTAAAATTAATGCAGAGTGATAAAAAATCACAAAAGGGCTGGTGAGATGGCTCGGTGGTCTAGAGCACCTACTTAGAACAAGCTTAACTAAAGCAAAGGGACTGCGGTTCAATCCCCAGCACCACATGCCAGCCAGCCCCGCCCCCTGGTGGGCTGAGCTGGACACGCACACGCACACACACACACACACACACACACATAAATAAATAAATAAATAATTTAAAAAAAATAAATAAAAAATCACAAAAGTAGTTACCTTGGGAAGATTAAAAACTAGGAGTTATTAAAAAGGGGAGAGGGCTTTAGGGATCCTCATAACAGTCTTTTTCTTGATTTGGCTGTTGGTGCCATGCTTATGTTCACTTGGTGAAAATTCTCTGAAATATACACTTGATTTGGGTACTTTTACCTACTTATGTTAGATTTTAATAAAGTCCTTGTGTTAAAATATGCAACTGTAAACAGACAAAGAGAACCCACAGCCCAGAATTTTCCTCCATAAGGAAAACATTCTGCAGAAAATAATTATGTAAGCTCTATAAGAACATTAACATTTCTGCTTTTCACATCATTGAATCCCTAGGGCCCATCCATAGTGTCTTTCATGTAATAGGTGTTCAATAAATGATGTTTCATAGTGGAAAGTTTTCATATATGATAATATATGTATTGGTGGTACATATAGGTTATTCATCAATATCTGTTTGTAGCAAAATGCCTCTCTTCAGAGAAGGTGAATTTGGTACGGTCAAAGCATGTATCTGAACAGTGAATCAGAATTATAAATAATGTTAACTCTCAAAGTATTTTTCCACCCTATCAATATCTATTTTTGATGCCGTGGACTTTAAAATAGTCTGGTACATGGTTTTACATGGCTTGGAAGGTCAAGCAGCATTAAAATTAGCTTCAAAGACTAGAAAAGCAAAATCCTTCTCCACATACATAAAAGAAACCAGAAAGACCATGACAACAAGTGCAACCTGATACCAAAGATTGACAATCAACCTGAAGAACTTGAGGTACACATAAGCCAAGGGCAGCACACGAAGGACACTGGATTCGCTAGGATGAGTAGGTGCGTATGACCCCATCTGGAAAGAGACTGATTTTCTCTGATGAAGGCTTCTAAAATTTCCTCCTAAAATGTCAAGAGTAAATCCACATAGGATCAGATAACTCCTGTTTAGGTAAAATTTAGTTTCATTTTAGATCAAAGATCCCTAGTTAGTTTAATCATCTTTCCCAGCCTCTGTCTCGGTGCAGAGGCCTTGTACCTGCCTTCATCATAAAAAGATTCTTGGCTTAAGTTTTTCTGGCATTCTCCCAGAATGTGGACACACACAAAAAATCATCTTGAATTGGAAGAAGTCTTTGGTGCCTGTATTGTTTTACTGGCTGACTAGAAAAGCACTTTATTTCCTTCTGGGTTTAGTTCACTCATCTGAAAATCTTGTGGGAGAAAATTGCTAATACTTAGTTAAATCAATTTCTTATGTCAGAAGCTCTAAGTCAGAAAATTAGTGTTCTTATCCACCCTCTGATTTTCATTTTTCCCTTGTGGTTTCTCAGGCTGGAGCTGTAGAGAAGGGACAATGTGGTTGCTTTGGAGGAAGACAGCTCGGGTTGTGGGATGTCAGGGAGAGTGCTGGCTGACTTGCTCTGGTTCTTGCCTTCAACTGTCAATCTTGCCCTCCACACTGGAACCTTGTTGTTTTTGTCCTGCCTCCAGCTTCATAACCTAATTCATGCTTTCAAAAAAGAAGTAATTTACCTCTATGATCAGATTGCAACTGCCTGGATATAAGCACTCATACACACACGCACATACACGCATACACACACATACACACACACACACACTCTGTATGTATTTCATTTAGTCATTTGAAAATTTGAAACAGAAACCCAAAAGAGACTTTATAAAGCTACACATATATCCTATTATCTTAGAGGAAAATCACTGAATTATTGAATTCATATTAGAGTTGTATTCCACAAAATCTATACCCTAAAATAGAATTCTGATTCTAGTACTCCTTTTGTAATGAAAATGGAATCATCATGCAATGAGTTAATTATTGAAACTGTCCTACCAATTTGATTTGAAACTGTCTCATTGCTATTTGTTTCTCAATAAAATTATGAAAAAAAAGAAAATGGAATCATCAATGATTTTAGTATAACAATTTGAATAATCAAATGCTCCACTCCCAGTAAATTTATACAGTCTATAATGAGTTTGAAGGTATTCTTATGAGTGTGTGTATAGAGATATAATTTTTGAAAAGAAGGTAGGTTCTGTTTTCTTAATTTTGATCATCCATGGTCACTCTACTGAAGTAGCAAATGCAAATTATATTCATTTAATGCAAAGATAATAATGTCAGCCTTGAATGCCCTTTCAGCAATACTGGATTTAATTTTCCTATTACACACACTGGTGATATTCAAACATAAAGAATTATCATTTTTAAGCTTATTTCTTGTTTTCTATTGTTGGTTTTTATATATAATATTAAAGTATTAGTAGGTCCTCGAAGTGGAATGAGAATTTAATTAAATCATTCTTTTTTGGTTAAAATTGAGCTATCAATGTATCTATCTCCACAAAATTAAAGCAAATTGCTGTGTGACAAACTAAAACATTCTTCCAGAAATCTGCATCACAATGGACAGAACTAATGCTCTATAATTCCATTAGCAAAATTGTTTTCATTTTCCTTTTCTCTTTTTAAATAATGCTGCAAAGGTACCAAAATACAAAGCTATTCATCTTTCTTCCCATTGTATAATTCTCTGTTGAAAGTATTTATGAAACTTTCTTTTAAAAGGTTTAGCTTGTATTTGAAAAGTATAATAGCTTAAAAGTTTATGGATCAAACACCATGCAAGAAAGCTTCTGAGACATAAGTTATTAACTCTTCATGGGACTTTAAGAGTAAATTTTCCTAATCCACAACAGAACGGGTGTTACCAAGTGCAAGACAGCTTTATCTCTCTCCATAAATATGTCCAAACCAAACCCTTAATGAGTCTTAGGCATCATTCCAGTAATGACCACAAAACAATCAAGACAAAATGAGGTCTATAAAACCACTTCCTTTCAAATCCTTCCTTCATCTTACATCCTTCAAAGACTTCTTAGTTACTCTAGCTTTTGGTATGATACCCCTGGCTTCCT